TAATAATATAAAATCACCCTCAAGGTATCCACCCTTAGTTGATAATCATAGGTTAAAAAGGTAAAGGCTCCCCTTACACATATGTGCTACTCGTTCCCGACTCTAGGGGGCGGTGCTCGTTTCCATTTCAAAGCTGAAGAGCCAGTGCTGTCTGAAGATGTCTCTGTGGTCATGTGGCTGGCATGACTAAACGCCGAAGGGACATGGAACGCTATTACCTTCCCACCAAGGTAATTCTTATTTTTCTACTTGCATTTTTTATGTGCTTTCGAACTGCTAGGTTGGGAGAAGCTGGGACAAGTAACGGGAGCTCACTCTGTTATGCAATGCTAGGGATTCAAACTGCCGACCTTTGTGATCGGCAAGCTCAGCATCTTAGCCACTGAGCCACCACATCTCTTATCTGATCATATAACTGATAATCATAAACTACTGCATAATCTATTAAGTTCTTGAAAAGTTTCTGAGAAATAGAAATGCGAGAGAGATTGAGGCAAAATGTACTTGACTATCAAGTCCTATTAATCAGAGCTGCGGGATGATTATCATCATCTACTTTAAACAGAAGTTTTGCAGATTTTCTTATTGTGATGACAACTCTTTCCATGACAAGGGATGATGAAACACTTTAAAATTTTGCTTGCTCAGCCTGTCACAGTTTGAGGTCTCTTGGAATCTCCCAATGTGAAACCAGTGTCCATATCTGCAGAATTTTGAGTGTGAGCTGCAATCTCTGTATATCATTGTTCTGTTCCATTAAAAATGCCAGTCCTTTACCTCTTCCATAATATGGGATAATTAATATTGGGCATCTTTCTCTCTCCAGCTGGTCTATCCACTTTTTAAAAACATCAACTTTCCAGCTGCTTTCCAGCTGCTTTCAAGCCGATTGCCACACTAGCTCTGATCATAGTAAGAGGAAGAAGAGGATTTGGAGTAGGATTTCCCACAACTTCTGTTTCTGTTTCAGCAGTAACATTAACAGTTGCTATGTTCATTCAACCTGGTAAAATCAGCCCCAATTTCTTTCTGAAATGAAGGAATTGCGGAGTAGTGCAAAGTATGGATTAGACCTATTGGAAAAGTAACCCCCTTTTATTTACTTAGGATAAAGAATACTAACTACCACTACATAATGCTTAGTATTCAAAAATGTCTCTGTTCAAAGCTTCAGGCAAGAAGGCCTTGTATCTTGAATGGGGGAGCTGACATAGTTCATTAGAGAGCAAAGATTGACAATGCAAAGACTCCCAGCCTCAGTCCTTCCCACTCCAAATGCAGCTAGCAAAGAACCCTGAAGAACTGCAGGTGGTCCACATAAGCAAGGCTGATTGTGCCCAATGAAGGCAAATTCCTAGGTTCTGTGCCAGCCCAGAATTGCATTTTTTGTGTGTTGTTTGCAGAGGTGGGTTCCTACCAGTTCGCACCTATTCAGTAGAACCGGTTCGTCAAATCTACTGAACCGGTTAGAAGAGGTT